CCGCCCAGAGGTAACCAGCGCCCTCCTACTTTTGACATTGATTGACAGTCAATTGTCTGTCCGTCATTTCCTGTTGAAGTATAGGTTAAGGTGTATCGGTCCTGGTTTGGGTTCCAAATTTTGGGATATTGGGTCCCAAACAACAGTTTATGGAGTAGCACCGGTTTTTGTATCTACCTTACCATTTTTATGGGATTTTAACCTCTTCAGCGTGGGAAGCGATTGAAAAAAATAACCATCAGCACTCCTCCAGCTTTGTACCTGTTTTGTAGCTGATTTAGATGAGAAACCACCCCTTTCTCTTAAGAAAAAAACCCTCATGTATACAGGTTTTTTTGCACCGTACGAGGCAACAGCCCCTATCCTGTGAAGTTCCTTACGTCTCAGTCCGCTACTGGCCAGAGCTGAGATCATCTCGGAAGCGCCTGGAGACTTGACTGGAAGAAGACCAGAATCAAGCTGAGTTTAGGTTTAGGCGCTTGAATGTTTGTAAAACCGTATAGGTACCAGGGTAGACGTTTAGCGGGGCTACGTTTTAAAGGTCTCTACCTCATTGCTATTAGATTCTTTTCTTTTGTGTCGGTGGTCAAGCAAAACAAGTTTCGACTAACATCTCGGGGATTTGTGGCTTAATCCGTTTTGAGTTGCTGGCGCTCTTAATCCCCCTACTCTCCGTTTTATTGATCTACAGCCTAAATTTGCACTCCACTAGATAGCTGTTTTGCATTGACTCAATATTTTAGTTTATTGGCCGTGTTTTCTTAATTTATTAATTAATTAACAAAAAAGGAAGGTGGAAACACCACCATTTCTTTTATTTATAAAAAAGGCGTGACAAATCGCTGAGAAAAATACTTGGCTGGGAGCACCGTCTTGTTGAAACCAACAGTTATTAACCTGTGCCAAGGGTAAATCATCCATGCAGTGTTCTAGATGTGTGTTGCGGAGATTAAAGATACCATTATTAGTAACCATACTCACGTCAGACCATATTAGTTTTGAGGGGAAGTTAAAATCTTCACACGCTCGTGTGTACCACTCACAAAAATGCTGGCGACGTTCGCTATCCTCTGGTCTAAGTTCGTGGCAAGTCCTGAATATTTATAGGGGTGATATCAATTTTTACGCAAAATAAATTGGGCTGTGGATTTGGCTACTCCCACATCTTTCTTAATTTGCCTAGTTTATATCTCAGAGTTCTCAGCAACTGCTTATAAAACACTATTCTAAGTTTCCTCTAAAGATTCCCTTTTTCAAGAAGTAACAGTTTTTTTGCCATATTCATTTAAATGTCAAGCCATACATTTCTGCAACATTTTTAGTATTTTTGTAGCATAAAATGTAGCACGTCAGCATGTCGTACTGTACTTCATGATATTAACAATACACAATAATAACAATAATAGGTGATAGGTATTTACGTCAAGTCAAGCATTTGTTTTGCAACGCCTACTTTAAAAAAAATCAGAAAAAACGCATTTTTCCTTATAACCAAGAAAATAAATTAACAATTTTAGATTGGTCAACTAGATGGGACATGACTACGATTAAATGATTTCACGCACTAAAACAAGCTAAACAAAACAGACAAACGCAAGCTATCGTATAACTGTTCCAAACTAGAATCGAAGATGGCCTCCCTCTGATTGAACTACGAAAACTGATAGAAAAATATAATAATATAATTATAATAATAAATAATAATAACATCGATACCTACTTCTACCTAGAAACAATAAAAAAAACACATTTTCTTTATAACTAAGAAGACAAATGTAACATGTCAAGCATCATTGAATTCGTATAAAAAATGCTATTAGATACAGGGTGTACTTTTTTCGGACCATATAAAAAATAAAGTTTCTCCAAAAAAAACCGTCGAGCACAAAATTTCAAAACACCATCATATTGTAGTGCCTAAAAAGTGCCAATGGAAAAGTTTAGTTAGTTTTTTGATATTTCTTTAAATAAAGCCGGAAAAATGAAAATGATTTAGCCAAATTTGAATTTTTCCTAAATATCTCAATAAAACATGAAAGTATTACAAGTTTCCCCTTGCATAGGCCGTTTATCTTGGACATCCTGTAGAAATGTTAGGTGTAGTTGTCAAACTGGCATAAGGAAGTTAGCAGGATACAGATTTAAATTACATTCATTATTTACCAAGGTGTTTTTTTCTGGGGTTTTTAGTGAAAAAAATATATTGAGCCGCCTGGCGACTGTTTTGAGTCCCATTGTCGTTTTTTGTCGTTTTCTTTGAATATAAAATTTATGATGGTTGGTGTTGGGCGTGTGTATATTATAAATTTTCAAATGGTTCCTTCGATATTTCTAACTACGGCCGCAATCATGTGGCATTAGGTCCCATTGTTATCGAGGCATTAATTCACGCTTTGTTGTATAAAAACAATTATCATAATTTATGTGTCTGCCTTACAGAGGCATTAAGTTTCATCTGTTCGTATACATAAAATGGAACTACATCTAAAATAATACCTACATGTGTGTCCGCGGTACATATGGTTCGATACGAGCAGGTATACTTTAACGTGAAAAAACCATAGAGGTTAACCAGATGACAGAGTAAGATTATTTCAGTTCATCTGCTTCCCATGTACTTTCCGGTACATGGGTGCTGTTTGATTTTTGCCAGGAATCAAGGATCAAGGCTTAGGGAATTTGATATTAAGCGATACACCATGGAGCAACGAATCTAAGTGGTCGAAGTTTATTTCCGCCTAGGGATCTGTTGTCCTACCTCAGCGCGCATATTGTCGTTAGTTCAATTCAAGGCTTGAGAGTATACAGCCATCTCATTTAAAATTTTTGACAACAAGGGACAGTATCGAACCTTTGTAGACTAGATTACGTTATTTGGAGAAAATCTAATTAACTGTCATCGATACCGCTCTTTGAAAAACTATATCCGCAAGGTTGCAGCACAAGGGCTAAATTCATCATTAACTCAATCACCCTGCCCACTGTTCTCTTGATTGAGACACAGTGACTAAAAACTAACAGGTGAGAAAATGGTTACAAACAGGAATATTTATGAAACATGAAATTTAGAAATTTAGAAGTTTATTTTGCGATGCCAAGTATAAAATACAAATCAGCGCCTACATGTGAGACACTGCGAAAATGTCTTGTGTGTAATTCGTCATTCCTAATGTTTCTCTGATCTGGCTTAATTACACACAACGCAGGCGCGGTGCTGATTTCCCGTGATGCTTCTCAGAGTTTTTGAAAACGCAAAAAACCGGAGAAAATTGTAATTTATTTTTGAACATCATCTCTCTTAAGAAGGACAACACAAACACCCGCGAGGTACAGCAAATAGATATAAATCACGGGCAGCATATTCAGTAATAATTTTCTCACACAGCAAATATCATTGATTTTATACACATGCAGACCAATACACCTAACCATCCAGATGCAATCTTGCTATTCAACCAATTTTATTTCTATCACGTTTTCTCAAAGGTATACTCTACAGACTATCTCTGCATTCCAGAAACAACAAAGCATTCTGGGGAACTCAGCTGTAGCTGGTCATTGAGCGTGTCGTTGTGTCATTCACACGCTTTTGGTGACGATTACAGCGGAATAAACTACTTGCACATTAGGACCTATCTCGTCAACAAGTTGACACTGTCGGTTTCTTACATTTTATAGGTTTTTTACGTAATAACCGTGCGGAACGGAAATACGGAAATGTTTGGCACCTTTGGTGAATATCGCTGCAATGATAAAAATGTTAATAGGCTTTTGAGTGAATTCCTGATTAATTTCTAACAATGAAAAAGCTGGTATCGTTTAAATTTAATGAAAATTGCTTCATGAGACCGCAGATCACCTGATTAGTGGCAATCATAAACTCACCCCAAGCAGGAAAACTCAACAGGTACGGGAGGCGCGAAGCATGTCACAGAATTAATATTATGCACTCGTAAATATACGGTGCCTGAATAGCAAATCTGGGAGTTGTGTCTCGGTCATGTACCGTAAAACTTGTTCAAGGTAAAAATGGCTCCATGGAATTTGGCAAAGCAAAATGAAAAGGACGAGACGTTTGGATATGAGTAACATCTTAGGCCGTTACAGTGCTTTTGAAAATGGTCCTCCCACTACTTTTTTTTAATTTGATATTATATCGTCGTCCATACCGCAGATAGGCGTATCTGACAAAAAATCAAATTCGAGTTAACGGATTCAAATCAACAAGGTATAGCATATCTTCAATCCCTCTCAGAAATGAAATACAATACACCACAAATAGGCGTAAATGAAGATACGCCTACATGCGGTGACCATTTTTTGATACTCTCTCAGTGGTAACTAAGATAGGTATGTATGAATACATACTACTATATCAAATTAATTTAAGTAGTTCAATCAATGAAATAGAGATGTCATTATGAGCTTAAGGGAATCTGCAGTATAGAAATGTGTAAGAAAAGAAAAAGGGTGTGTTATTTGTTCAGCAGTCCTTTAAGAACAATGATATTCTCACAGTTTTATAGTCTTGGTGACCTCCAACAACAAAGAGAGTATATAGCACGTTTTGTATTATCTGAAAACTCAAAACATAGAACTACAAATAGCAATGATCCACGCCGTAAGCAAACACATTATTTTTTCTTACCTCTAGAAGGTATCCTTAAATTAGTTCGTAAAAAAATGTTCCTTGGGACCCTTGGGATAAGTGAGAAAGTTTGCAGAACCGCAATAAAGAAATTGAATAGAACAACGGGTGTGCTAGAAAAAGAAAATCGTGGAGGTCGACGGGAGTTACAATCATCAAGAGACATAGTCATTAGAAAAAGTATTATAGAGCACATAAATAGGTTCCCCAGAGTAGAGTCACATTACTGCCGGAAGTCCTCAACTAAACAATACCTACATGAAGATTTATCTCTGAGTACAATGTATCACATGTACAAACTGGAAGACCAACAAACAAAGGGAAGTTTTTCTTTGTATAGAAAAATTTTCAGATCCATGAACCTCTCATTTCACAAACCAAAAAAAGATCAATGTGGTCTTTGCAAGTGTTACACAGAAGGATCGGAAGAAGTAAAGGCCTATTTGGAAAAGGAGTACTTTTCCCACATTTTAGAAAAGGAAACGGTAAGAGAAATAAAGAATAGCTGCAAAGAAAAAGCTAAAAATGATACAAAGGCTATATGTGCTACATTTGATCTCCAACAAGTTATATACTTACCAATTTCTAATCATTGTTCCGTATTTTATAAAACACGGCTTGCTGTCTACAATCTAACTATGTATGAAGTAGCATCTCGAGAATGTTTCTGTTATACATGGAGTGAGACTGAAAGTAAACGTGGTAGCTCGGAAATATCGACTGCTGTTTATTTATTTATTTCCGAAAAAGACAAACAAGGCTACAATACTGTTGACTTATTTGCTGATGGTTGTAGTGGCCAAAATAAGAATTCGATAATGGCTACCACTCTTTTATATCTCGTCAGTAATTGCTCAAACGTTAAAGAGATATCGTTAAATTTTGTTGACTCTTGTCATGGACAAAATGAAGGCGATTCAGCACATAGTGCAATAAGTTACGCTTTGAAAAATGCAGGTGAAATTATTGTGCCGAGCCAGTTATTGCCAGTCTATTGATTAGCAAGGAAGAAACAGCCATATAAGGTTCGTCCCTTAGACTATCGTAATTTTTTTGACCTCAGAAAACTCGAATCTGACTTAAGAGTATTATCTATTCGAAAAGATGATAAAGACATGGATGTGAATTGGAAAAATATGATGGAATTCAAAGTGACAAGTGATAATTGCAACAAAATCTATTTCAAGACTAGCCATAAGCAAACAGGTCCATAACCTTGAAAATAAATGTTTCCGATATTTTAAAAAAAGAGCTGTCTCCTCTGAATAGCGACCTACGAAAAATCACAAATAAGAAATATAATGATTCGACCTCACTTTGCCAAGGCGATAGGCCTGCCATCACTCTACCAGAACATCAACGTTTTTATGTTTCCCTACCTCATGAGGACCAGCCATAAATGTTTTTGTTTGAAATCATCTTCTTATTTTTGTTCTGTATTATCCTTGAGTTGCTTGAGTATTATTTACATCTGAGAATAAAGTGTTTTTTTATTTAATCTAATTTTATTCCATATGGAGTCAAAGGCGTATCTTCAAACCACTAGACTATTGTAATTGTCAAGGTTAGCGCAAAGAGGCGTATCTGGAAAAAAAAAAATAAAAAACATGTTTAGCTGAGAATATGAATTTCCTTTCCTCTATATAGTTCTCAGAAGAAGATGAACACACTTTTTAGCTATGTTATTGGAAGAAATTATGCTCATATTGTCTAAAGTAGTAAATAAATATGAAATCACATAACTGTCGATATTCATTTAGCTTCTACTGAAAATTTATATAAAATCAGTTACGCCTGTTTGCGGTACGGACGACGATATGTGTATAATATTTCATCTCTCGTATTACTATACAGGGTGACTTCGAAGTTGAGTCATTTATTTTAACAGTGAGTAGATCTGATCAAAAGAAATGTTTTTTTCCTTTACCATTTTCCTGGTAAAATTAAAGTAACAAAGTTATAGCCCTTTGGAAGTTTGAGTACCGCCCTGTCTCAATAATAATATTATGTGGTCGTGTTTAGCGACAACGGATATAATCCGCCGTATCGGTTCATCGTATCGGAAACAAAAAAGTGAAAGAATTTGGAACGATGTTTTTACAATTATTTCATTCCTTTGTATACAGTCAGTGTCAGTGAATAGTGGTATCTGTTGCGTGGCTCAAACGAAATAAAAAATGGCACATGTTTATGCGGATCGGTTTCCCAATCGAGTACAACCAACCCCTCGTGCCTTTGTTAATGTAGTACAACGGGCTCGTGAATCAGGTGACTTAAGACCTCACAGGGGACCTCACGATCAAATACAGGTCCGCACTGAAATACTTGTCGGGAGGATACTTTATAAAACAAGGTAAAAATTGTTTTTTAATTTTTATTTTATTTTTACACACATATTTTGGTTTATCTTCCTTCTACAATCATTATCTGAAAATTAATGACTCAACTTCAAAGTATTTGAGAGTAAAAGCAACTGAAAGAAAATTGCTGGGAGCATGATACACCATATTTTGAACCTCATTATGAGTACTTTCTAACCCTAGAATATAAAATCACCACTGTTTAAAATGACTGTCTTTCAATAGCTTGTTACTCAACATTCAATCCTCAAACCACTATAGAGTGGTATATCAATATTTTCCTCTTGGAAAATATGAAACATTGCACTCTACAAAAATGGTAGATTGACCATATACTTCCTACGCCTGCATTGGAAGTTTCAAACAAAAAAAAAGAAATTAGCCAAGAAACGCCAGAAGGTGCAGCAATTTTTATTTTTTTCCTTTTTTGGCTTTGTTCTTCGCCGCTACTGGGCGGAATTTCACAATCTATAAAGTTTTTTCATCCTTGGCATAGTTGTAACATTGTATAAAGCTTTCATGACAATCCGAGCGATACTTCTGAAGTTATAGACGGTTATTAGATTAGCGAACAGACCGACAGACAGACAGCCATACATAATACATATCTTATCAAGTAAAAATGTTAAAATCTATCAGTTTTTTCACTCGGGATGCCTCATCTGTTATTGATGAGCCAAATCATTGATTAACATATTCCACCTGAAGATAATCCCTTAGAAGTGATACAAATATGCTGAATTTGTTTGTTTCTGTGAATTCCGCTATAATAACCTAACAAAAAAATACCCGATCTTTAAAGTCGAGGATAACGTGACATTTTTGGTATATCTCTAAAAATAAGTAAAGGTTTCCATAAAAAACACCCTGTATTTTCGAAATGGCTCAGCCGATTTTAACAAACTTAAGCTAGTTGAAAGGCGCTATTCTTCGGCTACAAAAAAATTAAATGCATTGGTATGACTTTTTTATAAAAAAGTAGCTCAATGATGTCTAAACAAGCTCGTGAATACCGCATCTCGATACCTTGTTCCTAACCTAAAATTTAGGCCAAAGAAGGTTTTATACGGAAATCCTGTATATTTTTATCCTTTTTATTCATCAAAATAAAATCACCATTTTTGAAAATATTACCAAATATTCCTAAGGCAGGTAAGTAATGCTAATAACATAGCAATATTTTTTGTTTAAATGCATTTGGGTATATACGAAAAAGATAATTAACAGAAGCAGGCCATGGAATACAACAAAACAAATACCTAATCAAAACATAATCCTCAAATTGTCAATAAATTTCAATATTTTCTGGTTACTTTGAGCAATTTTTATGCTTGCAAATGCGATTTACAAACGATGAAGCTGTTGATATGCTTGCAGTTTATTTTGAATGCCGCAGTAGCAAAAAGAGTTTTCGCGACTCGATATCCAAATAAGGGTTCTTCTCTCTGAGAGTTTTTCCCCGATTAGTGGCGAATTTTTATTTCAAATTCTTAGGACCGATGAAGCTACCGTTAATAGTGACGGGAAAGTCAATCTGCACAATATGCATTATTGGTTTGCAGAAAATCCGCATTGGTTGCATGAAGTTCAGCACCAAGGGCGTTGGAGTTTAAATGTGTGGTGTTGGATACTGAGAGGTAGAATTATTGGGCCATATTTTTTCGAGCCATCCCTAGATGGCAATGTCTAATCTTGAATTTTTGGACAATCAGTTACCGTTGTTGTTGGAAGATGTGGCATCAGAAACACGGCAAAACTTGTTTTTGCAGTTGGATGGTTGTCCAGCATGTTTTAGTATTTTTGAGGGAGAACATATTAATGCAGTATTTCAACAGCGGTGGATTGGAAGAGGAAGTCTATTTCCATGGCCTTCGCGATCACCAGACTTAACTTGTCTTGATTTTTATTTATAGGGACGGTTAGAGGACATCGTGTTTCAGTTTCAACCTACAACCAAAGAAGATAAGGAAAACCGGATTTGTAACGCAATACGTAACATGCCGAGAACCGAAATTGAAGCTGCAGTTTTGTCCACCCATGACAGGTTTCAGGAATTCATGGAGCGTGATGGTCAGCACTTCGAGCATTTACGAGGGCATTAAAAATCTTTCTTTTTTAAATCGGTTCTATTTAGGCCCACAACTTAGTAGTAAAAAGAAATTCTAAAAAAAATACATTAAAAATATAAACATTCAAGAGATTTCCGTATAAAATCTTTGGCCAAATTTTAGGATAGGAACAAGATATCGAGATGAGGTTTTCGCGAGATAGTTTAGACATCATTTAGCTACTTTTTCGTAAAAAATCATACCAATGCATCCCATTTATTTGAGAGGATTAACAGTTTCTGTTGGAATGCCGAAAAAAGTCCTCCAGCGGTCACATGTGAAAGTAACTGAACTTAAATATTATAACATTTTTAGCACTAGAAATAGCTATTTTCAACTAATTTTGTTAAAATCGGCTCAGCCGTTTCGAAGACCCAGAGTGTTTTTTACAGTAGCCTTTGAACATTCACATTACCCTCGACTTTGAAGATCAGGTATTTTTTTGTTAGGTTAATATAGCGGACTTCACCGAAACACCACTTTTTTAGATTCAAGATTGCAGTTACGCCCCCTAGTGGCCATTTCAGAAACTTGAAAATACCTTCCAGGTTTTTCTCTTGACCGTTTTAGTAAGAACGCAGGCCTCTACGATGGATAGGTTCCCAGATACAAACAGTACCTCGTATTCTTAGTTGGCCACCCTGTATGTGTTAGATCAGTACTCAAATATAATTAAACTCGATGAAATCAACACTAAAACAGAACTGAAACAGGAAATCCAAATCTGTATTCCATAAAATACCTACTTGAAACAGTTAAAATGAATATATTACAAAGCATTTTATATTTCCTTCTACCTACAGCGCAGTCCATGGCTTCGAAACAGGTATTCTAGTAGCATGAACACCTTCTCTGGGCGCACCATAACTCTTGGTAGTTTCTTCGACTGCCTACGCTGCGCGCACAGCCTACTATACTTATATGCATTTTTAAATGCAGCCCACGATCTAGTGGGCGGCTTCAGACCAGCCAGCAGCCGAAGGATTTTTGTCGGGAGGCGTTTGTTTTCTTTAGTGGACCCTTTCGCTTTAACATGCGCTTTTATTTCTAATATTTTTTCAAGTAACTGATTTATCCATAATTCTTAAGGATAATTATTATCAAATCTGCATACCTCCAAACCAATGAATACAAAGCTCCAGTAGAACGGGCATTCGCGAACAAGTCTTTGATCTTCTGACCCCTAAAGATGCCGACATTTTTCTAATCACTCGTACCCTTCTCACTTTAAGAGGTCCTGCACTTTTCTATTGCTTTAAACATGGTAGTGCTGTCGTACGTTGGCCCACGTACGGTGTTGGTTGTCATAAAATTGTTGGTAATGGCATCGAGAAATTGTTTTTATTTCATGGATGACAAATATACAATCTGTCGTACTGTCTTCTCTGTTATTACCTAACCTCAGAAACTATTGTGCGATATTGTCAAAACCTGGACTATACTGCATGGTCACAATGGATGTAAGGGTGCTGAATTTTGCAAAAAACGAATGTGTTTTTTCAATTTTCTTATCAGTAGTTAAGTGAAAAACTAAAACAATGAATCGCAAATAACGTGAAATAAATGAAATGAGACTTCTATGAACTACAAAGGATATGGTATGAATGCCACTGGAGGAGGTGATTCATTAGTAGCTTTTCTAAACAAATCTATAGATCAAACTAGTAACATAGCTTTCGTCCATCTAACCACAGCCGGCGAACCATGGACCGCTGTTTCGTGCTATTTGGGCGACTCATCAGCATGGCTTGGACTCAGGTAGAACAATGAACGAAAGCTGGGCAGCTATCTTCTATCCATAGTATAAGGTTTATCGAAATAAAATAGCACACAGTGTCAGTGCAAATTGATTTCACTTTCCCAGTAGTCGATTCTGGTAACAGATATGTTCTGTCTCATTTAGATGAATCTATACATCTAAATCTATTAAGTGAAAGAAAATGATCAGCAGAAAACTGTTCACAAGTGTGAATGAAACTGAAGCACAATACTTCAGTTTTCGTTTTCCTACGTTGTCTGCACAATATTTCCTCAAATTCCGTAACATAGTCAACCAAGCTCCGAAAAGGCACTATCAAGCCTCCAACTTGATCATGGGTTATTTTTAGAGCTGAGCTCCTGCATGAAAAAACGGATTTCATACATCCTGGAATAACAATACTTGCCTAAAATTATTAGCAAGGCAACCAAATATTGGAACACCATTTCCCTTCTTAATTTTGCATCCAGGCACGCGGCACCAACTTGTCATAGTGAATCGCCCTGCAGACATCCAACACCCATGGGACCCCCTTTCAACTACCTGGGTTATTATGGTACTGGAAGTGTTTTGATTGTTTGTTGGCATAGACCCCCTTCAATGAATCTGCATGTTGCCAGACCTAAAATTTCGTCAAACATATTTTTTCTTTTTTATTAAGTTTGTGCAAAAAACATATTCAGAATATTTTTTGAGGAGTTGTGAAGATACTTCCTGTAGGTACTATTACCTCAGGTAAGGCATGCGTGATCGCATCCAAATAACAGGTAGCATTTCAGCCACGGGGGCAGAATCTGTTTTTCCTATGGAATGGCTCTTCTACTGGTAACTCTGTATTGTTTGGTTCCAAGTGCATGGTGTGTGGTACTCACCTAATTATTTTTTAGATCTTAGTGCATTAGCAGCATCATTGCTATGTTTATTTTAACTTACTTTTTTGCTTGTTTTATTAGGTATAAAATTAACCAAATCACGTTCCATCAGTTTTTTCAATAGAGTGATAATTGTATTCTTATTATAGGCGATGCATTGTTCACCATGCTCACTTCCGGCTCAAGCCCGCCTGTCATTCAATCAGGAGCGATAACTGACCTACATAAGGAGAATTTCTCAGCTTCCACCATGAGCGATCCATTCCATTTCCAATTATGTTCGCCATTCTGTGCAGTGCGAAGCGCCATGTCAGCGAACCGTTTAATTTCACAGCCAATTTCACACATATCAGAAAAATCAGGTTAAATAGTTCCTCTATACAGTCGTTGGGAGTGCTGGAGTCTCGCGCAGTCACGTATCTTTGATAAGATGGTTGTTAAATACTGTGGTGTAGCCAGGAATCGATATTTTTGCAGTTCTGGGGAGCGATTCCATAGACGCATTTTCTACTACTGTTGTCCCTTTTATTAAAGTCGTTGTAACGGTTGACATCACAGATCATTGCATCTAAAGGTATTACGTTTTCCATACTTACGCGTGCACTGTGAGAAAAGTTTAAATAAACCAATTAAAGCTTCAACTAGGCTAACTAAAAACTGTTATCAACTGTGTGACAGCTACCCAGTTTAATTGAACCCCGATTTCTAGAACAGGGTACTTGAATCTATGCAACTAGTATAATTAAACCAAAATGCAATAGTTTAGTTTCATTTATTAAACCGATTACTTAGATTGAGCACAATAATTTATTTAAAATTAATGAACTATTAAAATGAGTTTACCTGCTCCAAATAAAACAATTTAATTATATTTATTAAATTTGTTTAATTAGCATAGAGAAAAGTATTTGATTAGTTTCAATGAATTATTTTATTTAGATTTAAGAGGATATTTGAATGATATTTGGACTTAAAGAGAATGAATTGCATTTTACTGATGTATATTATAACTGCCCTGACAAATCTTAAAAGATATTAGATAAGAAATTTGGAAAACTTGATATTGATAATTCATATTTTCGAATTGAAATAAAAACTTCCGAATTTTGTAACCCCATCAAAATTCGATATTTTTATTTACAATAATAATTGTCAACTCATTATATATGGGATCTAGTTTTTCCAATTATTTGTCTGTTTGTCCAAAAACAGGTTATAGTAGATCACCATTCAGTAGAAGCAATTCTTTGTTTTGAATTCTGAAGTGGGGAGAGGTATACCTGAAACTGGATGAGGCCACTTGATCGTGTGTACAAAAGCTGTACTTTTATTACTAATAATAAAAGAATATTGCATTCACCCGCATTCAACCCATTTACACATATAAACAAATTGGACATCACTTCAAACAAACTGGGATATTTTGATATACTACGAAGAGGCTCCACAACACACACATACCTACAATATAAAGAAAAGTACATTAAGCTGATGTTACGCACATGTGTGGTATAAATGCATATCATTTACCTAAATACGGCTTCATAAAGAACATTTCAAAGTTCTTCCCATTCCGCTACGTCAGCATTGACTTCCCTATACAGATTGCTTTATTTGGAGCAAGAAATATTCTAACCACGGTTATGGGTCACTAAGCGCCTTATGCTCGAGTATTTCACTTGATCACCATAATTATTGACCCACTTCACAATGCTCCTCGCGAAAATCACAAATAAAACTGAAGAGTTCGAAGAACGTCACCGGCACTGCGCCTGGTGTAAAACACCCGATTATTTGCGAATGAAGAGCGAGTCCTGCCGAGTCATCGATTAAAATAAACAGTTTAACTATTTTTAGTAAAATGTTTAACTGTTATATATAATATGAATAGATAAATTGCGAGAGAATATATTAATAATAGACATCAGCCAAATATAGTTAAATAACATAGTTAACACATTAATTACAACCAGTATAAATATAAGAGTACATTTTACACTTAAACTGTATTAAGGGACAATTAAATACCTACATAAAAAAATGTATAGAGAGAGATAAGGTCATAACGCCAAATCTTAAATGGAATTTGCGATTACAGTACACGCAACTAATACAATAACATCGTAGTAGTACACAACTTTTTGCTTGTTAAGAAGATATAGCCTGTAGTATTTTTTAAACCATTGGCTGTATGGAATTTTCGTCAAATAGTTCAACCTCCTTGTTCAAAGTGTTTGCTATTTTCAAGCAAATTATTATAAAATTATATTACTTTCTATCAAACTGGACCCACATAATTCAGTTTAATTAAACCAAATAATTCAGTCACTAGGAATAATTAAAAAAATGATTACGTTTAGTATCTATATGTTTGAGTAGCAAGTCTCATTCTCTATAAAAATCAGTGTCTGTATAATTATGGGTACCAGTTTTGTCATTAAAAGCGAAAATATAATAGTGTTGGTAATCACAATAATATAACATATGCAATATATATATATATATATATATATATATATATATATAATCTATAATCCATTGGCTTCTTATGATTTAAATGTCAACGTTAACGTTTACATACAAGGTGCTTGTACTTGCCAAAACTCTCAAGCTACCTGAAATATTGACGTTCATTATCACTTAAACTGTTAACCGTAAGGTAAAATAAAGGATAATTTAATTCTATACGATAAGGGTCCTATAACTTTTTATATACCTATAGTTTACAATATAATTCAATATAATTGACAAAACGCGTTTATCAAAATCTCTGGACCTTCAGCCACGTCAATCTGGATTTGTCATTACAAAGAAGTATGCACACGATGTCATTAAAAAATATTCCGTTTAGTTACTGAAAGTAAGCAAAAAATATCAGTGCTACTCAACATGTCTCTCTTTTCCTACCAATAACTTTACATATAATATTATGGAGGGTAATCCTGGAATTCTAACTCTGAATATTAATTGTAGTATGACCCGCCACTGTAAGTAGATATGATGTCCAAGTCACGATGTTCGTTTTCACATCGTTTATTAAATCTCTACCTGGAAAATTCTCTGATTTCTTTTGTAATAATTGGACTCTCATCCATATCCTTGTCGAAGTTTCATTAGCGTGGGATCTGTTAATCATTGTGACTTGACAGTATAGTATAAAAAGGTGCATCAAAACTGAAAACATGAAGACTAAAGTAAAACTTATTAATTTGAGTATTTGAGTTTTGCAGCTGTCTTTGGAGATACACGAAGGGGTGTTTTTGTTCATTGTAGCGCTTATAATTCAACGGCTAATCTACAAAAAACGCTTAAGTATGTTGTATCAATTTTTTTTAGAAGGGTCTATCTAAATATGACATAAAGAATGGGATATCCCGTTTAAAAAAAATGACACATTTAGACATATTTTTTTATGGATTGTTTCATATCTTATCACATATTCGGATAGATTCTCAGGGATGCTGGCGACTCACTTTTTTCGATCCATCTTACTTTTACACACTTTTCATTGAAAACATTCACTGTTCCCACGATATCCGCCATCGCTGTACATATTGTAGTTTATGAACGTTTTCGAAGGAAGCTGTAAATGAAAAGATTTTTTTTTATAAAAATCAACTATGACAAAGTTGTACATATTCTTTCCAAGCTGGGTCAATACGTATTACATGAGAAATTACTATGATTAGTTGAAATTTACGTGAAATTTTGATTCGTCTTTGCTAAAAGCACTCTTTATACATGCACTAGGATTTTAAATTCGGAAACGGTAAGCAAAATTTTTTATGAAGGCAAAGACAAAAAATACGAATCTGTCCTAAAGCGTTTTCATTTTCTCCTCCCTTAATTTGAGCTGCGATTTCAATATAAATTGCGTTAACAGTGGCACTTTTTACAAACCTGGTTCAAGTAACTGTTAGTCTGTTAGTTCGTTAGTAGGCATGCGTGGGACAAATCTTGAAATTGAATTATATACCAATGAACCTTAACCAATTGAGCTGAAATATTGTAAGCCTGCCTGGTTCATGTGTCAATTTATAATGAAACTGATATGTCGTATGCTACATAATGGCGATTTGTCATTTTCATAGTATACGATATGGGTATCACATGAAAGAACTTGATGAGATAAGCAAACTGATGTCATTCTAAATCCAATATGACGGAAGCCGCCATTTGGCGATTTATAATTGCCATGGTCACCTGGACATCAGATGAAAGGGCTTGAGAGAAACGCAATATGCAGTGTCATTTAAAATATGGCGGCCGCAGCAAAATGGCGTTGTTGATTTCTATAGTTGCTTACCCCTATGCCATGGCTATCGACTGGAAGGGCTTGATGAGACAGATGCAGTAAGCAACGCGACGTCATTCTAATCCAATATGGCAGAAGTTTAATAGGACAATTCACATTACAATATGATTATGACTTGGAGATGATCTGATGGTGAAGCCAGGAAGTGGCCATGGGAACTCATCGAATAGAGCCTCTTACGATCTGATGATTAAGTTACTCAACTATTGTGTAAAAAATACTCACTATAACAGCTAAATCAAACTTCAACTTGTCAATTGGGTAAGAATACTTAATAAATATAAATAAGGCTCCCATATCTATAGGAATTCGTTATATTTTTTATGCTTCTTTTATATAAAAATTATTTTTGCTTACGTCAATTAACAGTAACAAATATCTCATAAGAGTTATTTTCGTTTTATTTTCGAACACTGTTATTTATATAATCCATTAAAAGTTGGCATTATGATATTCAATTTCCTAGAAAATGAACTCAGTTTTTTAAGTATAAACTCAGTATTTCTCACTATTTTTTAATTACTTTTTTTGAAAACGTCACTTTTCTCACTTAAATTCATGCTTTGGGCCGCCAGCATCCCTGGGTTCTTCAAAGTAAAGAAGATCTATATAACGGCTATACCATGTTGATAATTGTTGAGTTACAAACGATACTATATACGGAAACAACTTTGAAAGCCTACCAATCCGGCATTTAAATGTACTAATTGTATGGGTTATAAAGTACTTAGAAGAAGCTGAGGTGGCACAAAACTCCCACTTCAAATGTTTCAAGATCTACCGTCATGTTGTACTTTTTAACTGACACTTTTCAGCCTGCTAACTTGATCTGTTCAAAAAATAAGTTGGAGTGACCTTTTTGAAAAATAATGTATTACAGCTCTTTTCGCCAATTTTGGGGGTTAGGTATCAATGCCCTGCGATTTATGTAAACAGATCAACTAACTGTAATGGACGAAGCTCAATTTTTTAACTGAAGGAAATTTGCACACTGAGCAAACCGACTCTTGCATACATGAAGTGTTTAATAGAAGGCCATTCTTTTCGTTGACTTTCTAGAAATACTTCTATAAGCTTAGCAAAAACTGTTGACAGTGTCCACTAGTATTTCCAGGCATTGCTATATAGCTTATATCACAGATCAGACTCAAATCGCATGCCCATGATAAGGGAGTTGTCACACTGACAGTGGCAAGCCTGGTTTCGAGAAAATGTTCGAGGTTGTGGGGCAAAACTGATAAACGTATGTCTGTGAGCTTACACAAACAAACGTCCACATTCAAACGTATATAGATTCCATGTGTATGTGTAATTACTGTAGATAGTTTCTAAAATAGTAAAAAATCTCAGTTGTGTGACCTTTAATTTATTGGTTTCTACTTCAGCCATGACTATTTGATATTGTATAAAATAGCTAGATAGCATACGAACTAACCAATATCTGTAGACCTTAGTAACCAAAAGTTTATTTAGTTTATATACTTACTATCCAAATAGTTGATAAACTAGACTAGTAAACTCTTACCCGTAACATATACGCTAGCAATAGGAACACGAGTATCTGTTTGCAATTGAGTTTTTTTGTTACAGATAAATAAATTCTGTGAAAATACGGATACCAACGATGTGGACTCGGATCTCGAGGACCCTGAACAGTTGCTCAACGAGTGGTTGGGGGAGTTGGATAACCTTACTGGGGTAAGTGTCTTTAACATTTTCTAGATTTATATTTTCTTGAGCGGATATTGTACTTTTTTCGTCTATAGTTTATACATATTTGAATTCAGATTCAAAATATTCAAACATTTCTATTGGTTATCACTCTCATTTAGTCAAGTATTTTGAGTTTAATTCGCCTTATCGCGAAATACCGTTTGTTACCGATGAATTACTGGTTGACTCTCCAACCTCCTCTGGATTCATAACATGTTGAGCATTTAACTAACTTGTTGTTATTCTCAATCGATGTCCATTTCTTTTCACCTTTGTATACAGGGATAACCAAATTAGACTTGAGTTCAATGTGTACAAGAGAGAAGAGCGAGAAGTGTGTATCAGCACATGTTAGAACGAGATAGAAGCCGGCTGAAGAGCGAAGGTCATACCACGTTGCCTAGCAACGGTAACGCAGAAGGTCGTGCAATATTCGGAGTTGTCAAGCCACCACCAAATATTCGCACAGGATTCTATAATATACTAAGTGACATATAAATCCGAACACCCAGTTTAAATGGTTTTATTTTAATAAAAGTTGGGGAATGTATTTATCTTACTGTAAATAACAAGTGAAAAAATTTTCAGCCTTACCAGTTGGACATTCCGGTTTTTATAGTGCTTTTTTTTAATTCACTAACGCTCTAAAAATGAATATTTCAGCCGCAGTAAAGAATCAACGTTGGCGGATTTTGGTTCTTGACATCCTTTACGATCGGTTACGATGCCTAGAGTACGCAGATCTGTACGATTTCGTCAACTTAGTGAGTTTGATAGGGGCCGTATAGTGGCACTTCGGGAAGCTGGACTTTCTTTTCGGGCAATTGCAGTTAGAGTGCAAATAAGTGTAGACACTGTGGTTAGGTGTTGTCAGGCATGGCTTCGAGAAGGCCGTACGCAAAGAGCAAGGGGCACTAGATGCCGCCGTAGAACAACAGACCGTGAAGATCGCCGCCTAAGATTATTGGCCTTAAGGGACCGTTTCTCCACTACCAGGTCCATTGCAAATGAATGGTTTGCAGAACACGGAAGACCTATTAGCATGCGAAGTGTTTACCGACGAATGAGAAGTTTTGGCTTGTTTTCATACCGGCCACACTGGGTCCTCCCTTTAACTCGAGAACACCGACGTAATCGCCTTGAGTGGTGCAGACAACGGTCACTCTGGGATCAGGAATGGAACAGTATTGTCTTTAGTGACGAGTCTCGATTTTGTTTAGGCATGCACGATGGTCGTACCAGGGTTAGAAGGCGACGTGGTGAAAGGAGGAATCCACAGTTTTTTGTTGAAAGACAAGTTCATCACACTGTTGGAGTTATGGTTTGGGGTGCTATAGCTTATGGTTCCAGGTCACCTTTAATCTTCATCAGAGGTAACATGAATGCGCAGCGTTATATCCACGAAGTTCTAGAACCCCATCTTTTACCCTATCTTGACACCCTGGCAGATCCAACTTTCCAACAAGATAATGCCCGACCACATGTTGCAAGAGTCACAATAGACTTGTTTCAACATAATGATGTCACATTGTTACCATGGCCACCAATATCTCCCGACTTATCCCCAATTGAGCACGTGTGGGATATGATGGGTAGGAGATTGCTCAATTTGCAACGTCCTCCTCAGACTCTAGAAGCACTTCGAGAGGAGTTGGTGGTTGCCTGGAATGAGATACCACAGGAGGACATTGACCTGATCAGAAGCTTGCCTAGGCGCGTTGGAGAGTGCGTAGCACGTCAGGGTGCATCCACACATAATTAAAGGTCAAAGGGCTTTAAAGCAGTGCAATCATTTTGAAATTTTTATCATTTACTTATTATGCTTCATCAAGTACTTATACAAAATTTTATTAAAATAAAACCATTTAAACTGGGTGTTCGGATTTATATGTCACTTAGTATATAATACAATCAAACCCAAAAAGGAGGTCTGTTCGAACATTTAAATTAATTGTTTGTTTCCATTTTGATTAGAATTGCTTAAATCAATTTTAGTGCGACTTAGTTTATTTTGGAATTACCTTTAATTTTCTTCATAAAATAAACACATCCTGAGTTATTATTACATTGTGCGACAGCGAGCGGCAATTACGCAATACCGATCATCACTGCCTGCGTGTTCGTAGAAGAAAAACATTTCGAAGCAGGACGACACTCCCCCAATGAGCGCTTGTAGATGGGTACTGACCAAAATCAGGGAAGTGGAAACCTTGCCTTGGAACGTACGAGATGTGGTGTTGCCAAGCGAAACAGAGATGCAATGTTATGACGATCCTGACTTTTTATTACGATCTAAAATAGCGGCGTTAGGAGCGATCCGAAATCGATCCTAAACAGATTCGAGACATGTCAAAAATGTTTACGCTCAAAATAAAACCATTATTTGGGTGTAGAGAATAAACTAAAGCATATTTTCAGCATGCATCGTAGTTCAAGGAACTGGTGTAACATATTGGCAACGCAGCAGATGACCGCGTCAGCGTTGCTAGGCAACGTGGTGATGAGCTTAGCTATCTAGCCGGCTTCTATCTCTCTCTAACATATGTATATATACACTTCTCTCTCGTACACATTAAACTCAAGCCGTAAGAAAAGTTTGGTTTTCAGTGTACACATGTAAAGAATAATTATTGTTCCAATGATAAATCTTAAAATTTACTCTAACTTATTTCTATCGTTATTCTTGTGAACATTTATGCGTGACGCCCACTTTCGCCTGAACCCCCTATAGCCCACAGTATCCACGGGTATTAAGGCCTTAATCCTTCGTGCTGATTCAAGTATAAAAAAAGAATAGAGAAGAAAAGAATAAAGGATTTTGTTCACGTGTGTTTCAGCTCTTTCACTGTATCTAACATTCTTTACACTCTTCAACCTCTACCTTGAAGGTTGAGAGAATGAGATCTCACGCCCAATAATCACTTCATTGAGAACGTAGTATGGTGCGTTGGCGATCATTCCCAGGACGTTGTTCTAGAGCCATTGAAGAGTAGCGGTATTGTTGTTGCTTGCTGTGATGCGCGATAACTGTATGCCAATTATAGAAATTAATTTCAACAGAGCATTGTACATAGCTTGTTATCCAATGACAGTTCGGATCTGGTATCAATAATCCAATACATCTCTCTAAGTTTCATGCCTACTCGTCTCCTTTTTATGGGAATGTGATTTTGCTGTGTAAACCTTCTATCTATATGGATAAGGAGATACTTCGTATCAGTTTTGATTTGATTGTGGAAATTGTAAACTACTAATAGTGACTAGTGGACAGGTTTTTCTATATAATAGAGCAAGTTTCGCTGGACATTTTGCGATACTATGACTAGATTGTCATAGGTACCAAAATAGTCATATTATCTGCAAATGTTGCTACACATCCATTATTTGCAGTTGGTAGATCTGCAGTTCACAAAAGGTACAGGCCGGGACCTAAAACACACCTGAACCGATAAGCTTGATCGATGCGGATATAGTACCATGGTTTACAAAGAAGTAGTAAATGTGGAGAATACAATTGTCGATATGTTCCATTAATTCAGGCATTCCATCTAGGTTTTGGTTTGATTATGAAAATTTTTGCACGTATGTTAACAACAAAGAAGTAAATAGTAAAACAATTATGGACCAACATCCAGACACATCTGTCACCTTATTTGAATGGCCACAGTAGTATGTATAGCTTGCAGAATCTGTATCACTTAGTTCGATGAATATTTCATGGCAAACGTGATCCTGGACTCAATTACGGCATAAGGAGGATGCTTTTTGACATAGCTGTGGTTTCTCTTGTTCACAAGATATTATTATATTAATAGGTATATCTGTTGTTATCAGACTGTCTCGTTAAAATTGTTAACAAAATTCGTTAAACTATTGTGGCCACATTTGGCGAAAACATTTTCTGCACATAGATTTTTCGTTCTCTTGTGACAATCTAATCCCGAAATCATTCCAAAAATCAAAGCCATTTCTTTAACACATTTGGCTATAGATAAGTGCATCACCAGCTAATCTCGCTTCTAACCGATATGTTACGAACTGTATGTATAAGAGCGACATATGTAACGTATAATGCTTCCTTTATTGTTAAATTCAGGTCAGACTCCTGAGATTTTATAGGGCAACATTGCTACGATTTTACCACAAGATGACTTAAATAGCTGTTTATATTCTTCGATCTATTAGTAATAAATGCCCCATTGACCAAATATTGACATTTGAATTACTTCCGTTTTATTCCCCATTTTGGGAAAAAGCCAAACGCTTGGAAGTAAATACAACCTTTTTTAAATTGGTCATTCAATCTTTCAACCTATTTTGAATAACGTAATTATAACTTTAAATTTTTGTTGGGGCAAAAAACATGCTTATTGTCCATACGAGCAGATTGCTGCTTTCTCTTAGGGGTTATATAAAAAAGTTTACCGTGAGTGCCTTTATTTGGTCTAACAGATAAGGTTAAACATCGCTTTAAAATAATATATTCTCAAAATACTCGTCCGGGTCTTCTAAAGCAAGGTTTGCGCTTTAATTTAGATACTTGAAAATTATAATTTTCAACCGAGTTTTTCAGCATTGAATATACCAATTTTTAGGGCTTTTCAGGCATCGCTTATAACTCGAAAATGGTCAGGTTTAGAGAAAAGTTAATAGAAACCTTGATTTGTTTAGAATGATCCAAAAAAACTGGAAAAAATTTGTCGGGATAAAAAATTTATTTGAAAAAATGCTTATACAAATTTGTGCTTGAAAACTCGTTTAAAAATTATAATTTTTGGATGTTATCATCTTGGTCAATTGCTCTACAAGACCTTGAAAAATATTTTGAGATCAGCTTTTATTAAAAGAGATATTAACTTTTTTCAAGGACAGAATTGGTAAACTTTTGGTTTTCGCAGACTGTAAATCATTCATCAAATGAACGGCGAGTACTTTTCCAAATTTTTATTTTACCGCACTTTAGCTGTGATCTTTCAAGTGTCTTTGAACAGCAAAGTCTCAACTTTCAT